TCCCCTCCCCTCCCCTCCGCACATCTCACCGCCTCTTACCTCAAACCTTCCTGGTCCGGGGTGCCCCCAGCCACTGGTGTCCCTCCGTGGATACCCCTCCCAGCACGGTGCGGTCAGAACGCGGGAGTCCGCAAGGCAGCTGGTCCCGCAGCCTCAGTCGGGACTCTGGCTGCTCACGATCCTGGTCTGCATCCTAAAGAGCGGCCGCATACCCTTTCCCACAGGGAAAACTCTTGGGGTGCTGCCGACCCCTCTCTTATAACCTCAGGCAAGAAAGACCGGCAGCTTGGGAACCCCGCGCGCGCGGGTGGGTCGTGAAGGCCCACCACCTGCTGCTGGAATGGGGGTCGGGGGGAGGGGCGACTACGGCGTCGCCGAGCTCCAGCACACTTGGACAGACCCCAGGTTAGTGCATGAAAAGTGCATTGTGGAAAAATACCGAATTTGGATGAAAGCAGAGTGGGTACTGTGCCTTTAAGCCTGTCCCCCGCCCTGCGCTCTCGTGGCGGGTGGGAGGGCCCTGCTGAGGTGGCAGGCTGGGTGCTGGCTTCCAGGAGTTTGTGAGCCGGGCCGGCCGGCTGGCCCACACCTAGGAGGAGTAGGTGGTAGGCAGATGGCCTCTTGTGGACTCTGGTCGTGGGCGGGTGTGGTTTTCCCTGGGCAGTCGTGGAGGTGGGGAGCACTCAGAAGTGTCCCCTAAAATACGAGTAACTGGAAGACGCCCTCCGTGCTTGGCCCTACTGCATTTTAGAGGCACAAAGGTGGCGCACTGGGTTGAGTATTTATCTGCAGCTGCTTTGAAAGAGATGAAGGTGGCTGCTCCCTGACAGCTAGCAGGCTCTGAAGCCCGTGTGGGCCCAGGCTGCTGACAGTATTTCTTACGGAGGTCAGGTGTGGCGAGTTAAAAGGCTCCCCCTGGGCTCGCCCTTTGCAAAGAAGGCTCCTTTTGAAGAGGGAATTGGCAAACTGATCCACTTAAAGAATTCCTGTTTCGCAGTAAAAATAGAAGCTTGCATCCTTTATCAGAGTCCTTGCTGGTGTGTGTCTGCTGGCACCAGGTCTGGCACTGGATCGCTCCTGTAGTCCTTGGAAGTGAAGAGCCCACCTCCCGGTTCCTCCACTGGGCGAGTGCTGGGCACCGTTTCCTGCCCAGGAATGCCTTGTGTGCTTAGGGCAGTTTTTAAAAGTCAGATGTGTACGGCCTAAGAACAGGTACGGGCTATATCTAATGTCCTTCAAAACATCTGTTGTAGGTTGCGCATATTTCTGTAGGAACGCTGGTGGTGTCGTGGTTACACCTAGGGTTCCAGTACTCAAGATCAGCAGTTTGAAACCCCCAGCCACTCCGTGGGAGAAAGAGGAGGCTTTCTACTCCCGTAAAGAATTAGGGCCTTGGCCTCCGATCGATGGCAGTGGGTTCTGGGTCTGGCATCTTTCGGTGGCTGTGCGTTGGGCTGCTACCGCAGGGTCAGCAGTTGGACTCTAGCAGCTGTCTGCTCCCACAAAGGTGTTCAGTCTCCCAAGCTTGTAAGGACTGCTCTGCTCTGCCCCGTGGGGACTGACCAGGCAGCAGTGCACAAGTGGGTGGCTTCTTTCTGTGCGTGGAAAACATCGGCGGCATCCAGGGGCGCTCTGGACGTTTGTGTTCTGGGTGCCCTGTAAAAGTTGTGGTGTCTGGCTCTGGGAACATTTCAGCATAGGTGGACCTCAGGCTCAGAATAAGCCAGTGTGACGATGTGACGAGGGGCGGGCAGGAGGTGCCAGGAGCCTCTGGGGGCCGAGCAGCAGGGCTGCCAGGTGTGCAGGAGCCGTGTGGGACTCCGGGGAACAGCAGAAAGCTGCCCCTGTCGAGAGCCCTCGAGGGAACATGAGTGGCAGCCATGGGCTCCTGCCCAGGGTGGCTGAGGGCCCCCCCAGTGGGAGCAGCTTCTAGATCCAGTGAGGCCCCAAAGGACAGTGGGCAGCTGCTCCTTGGTAACTGGTCTGCTCCTGGGAGCTTCAGGTAGTACGTGAGAGGGCATTGGATTGGGGGCAGGAGTGGGAGGGACCCCAGGCCAGGAAACGCTTGACTGGGAGCATAGAAGAGCTAACGTGAAGGCCTTGGGGAGGCTCACCCTGGGCCCCACAGCCACCGCAGCCTGGCAGGCCAGGGTTGAACTGCCTCAGAGATGAACTGCCCCCAGAGCTGCCGGGTTCCACTCTATCTCCCAGGGCTCATGGCCTTCCCAGCTCTGACAGTGGGCCTCCTGAAGACAGACCCTGACTCCCAGACCGTGGGTCCCATATAACCGGTCCAGAGCGCCCTGGGGCCACGTGGGGGCGTGGGGCAGAGCAGCTAGATGGCAGCTGAGCACCCTGCACCTGCATGCAGGGCTGCAGGTACTATAATGGCCTGTGACTTGAGTGTGGGGAGCAGAGGACCTTTAGGGGCACAGGCAGCGCATCATGGGCAGACGGGGGTGGGAGGACACACGCCACATCTGGCTTCACAGCCAGCAACTCCTGCCTGCCTGGGCTGCTGCCAGCTCCTCCCAACGGGTGGGTCTGGGTCCCAAGGAGTACTGACTGCTGTGGCTCAGCTGGGGGCTCCGTGGCAGAGTGGAGTCTGGGTGGGCATTTCTCTAGGCGACTTTGGTCTGACCATCGCCACCTGCCCTGAGGCTTGGCACCTGGACCCTGCCCCACATTACACTTGAAAGTTCCACTGCTCGCCTCTGCCTGTGCCCCC